GAGTTAATTTCATGAGATTACCTAAGGTATTAGAAGTGATTTTCATGGATTATTAATGAGTAATAATGCTTAAATGAAAATACTATTGATATGAGTAAAAGGAGCATGATATACAAATTTAGAATAAATTGTGCATGATTATGTGGCATGAAAGGAATGACATGATAATGGAATTAACTATGTAAATATTGTGATAAAATATACTTTTACTTCATGTATGAAATACATGAATGGATAAAAGTGATATTTTTGATATTGGGATCAAATTATATTTGGATTGGAAAATCAATTGAAAAGAAATGTCAATTTGAATTTAGAACTTGATATGTTCTAAGACTAACCTACTAGTATAAAAATACTAGTCGGGAGAGTAATATAATGGAATTAATCCTAAGGGATAGGATGGGGAATAGACTTGCCTTAAGTAGTCTTAAGAGATACTTTAAGGTTGAATTGTATGAACACTAAGGTGTGTTAGGGGTAAGTCTAAAGGCTACCCAAGTGGGCTGATTCTAGGCATAGGATTTGCTTGAGAATTGGACTATGAAAATGAATTAGAGTTGGACTCTAGGATTGCATGGAAATGTAGTTGGGCCGAGCCCTTGCCATGTAATGTGATTAGCATGGAAACGTAGTTGAGCCGAGCCCTTGCCATGTATTTGTGATCTTCGTGGAAACGTAGTTGGGTCGAGCCCTTGTCACGAAGTTGTGGTTGGTATGGAAACGTAGTTGGGCCGAGCCCTTGCCATATAATTTTAATGTGTTAAATTGAGTTGAAGGGTTGTATAGAAATGTAGTTGGGCCGAGCCCTTGCTATATAATCGGGACTCAAGAGAACCCTATGGGGTTGTCGTGACTTGTAGTCACGGGGAATTAAGATGGTGAACGCTAAATGAATATGGGCCCACGGGTCGACTACTTGACTTTATATAAAGTAAGTATGTTATTTGTAAAAGGGGTAACCGAGGGTTATGACCTATATTATAATATCACCCTAGATTGAGGGTCTTAGAAATTGAAACATTGATTATACTTGGTATAGTTGTCATTGTACTTGTCAAATGCTTCCAAGTAGTGACCTCCTCTTCACGGGGGAGGCCACCTCACAGTTTCAGGTAGGAGCTGAGCTTGCTACCAGGGCCCGTGGATTCGGGAAGGTCTAGGAGAGAAGACGTGGTTCGTGCTTCCTCCGTTTCTGTTTCAAAAACAATTATAATAATGCTCATGGATATTATTTTCTAAACAATTATTTGGGGGCTTGCATGCCTAAGGATGCCAAGTGTGGCTTGGATACTTGTATTAATGTTTCCGCTGCTTTAATGAATGTTTTTACATTATGTTTGTTTATGGATGTACTATGTGTGAATGATATTCCGGACGCCTTGTATAGTATGAATGTATTGAACTGCGGTTGACTATTCGTACTATACGGCGGGTTGTTGACGTGTCCGGGTAGGTCCGGGGCGTGACATCTTAGGGACACATGAATGCATACTTGGGGTATAAAATTGTTGGTCTATAAAAAAGATCTATTGGTATTAAAAAATATAAAAAAATCAAATGCATTATTTTCGAACGGTTCGGTCCGGTATTTTTCGGTTCTCACAATCTAGGACCGGTCCCGTACCCGTTTCAAACGGTACGGTTTCGGTACGGGATAAAAATTTATAGAACCGTTTAAATACCCGGTATTCGGTTCGGTACCATTACGGGACGGTTCGGTACCGGTTCGGTTCGGGTTTTATGCTCACCCCTACTTCAGGCTACCCGCAACCCCGTTTCGACAATAAATGAAATTCTCCATTTCATTATACGTATTTATTCAGTCAAATCATTTTTTCCTGGAACTCAGCACCGTCAATATATTCACCCATCACAATTTCTTTTTAATTAAATGTATAAATCTTTACTTTTTTTATTCAACATTAATTATGTGATTTTTTTACTATCACTAATTATGATTTAAAAAGTCAAACATTTTGATGTAAAAATACGGAGTAATTTTTTTCGTAGGTATTAAAATATGCACACTTAAGCTTAATTTCAAATAAATTGCAATTGTCAATCAAAATATGTACTGCGGAGTGCTAAATAACATTACATTTATTACTACACTAATATATAATTACTTTTTTACTTTTAATAGTAAGTTGACCTTGGCCTACCACGGAAGCCCTTTGGCAGTGTGGCCATTGAAGAGGTGTGGCTGATCCCTAGGCTCCACTTGAGATGAATACTCCGTCAATTTGCCTACCAATTCCCCCTAGAGGTGCCATCCACCTATTTGGCACCCTAAAATACATGGTTTGCACCATTTTTTTTGGGTGAATACATTAAATCTGGCTTTTTCACTAGTACGTTGCGGGAAGCCTCAGGTTGAATGTAAAATACTACCCTTAAAGTAAGAATAAAGTAAGAATGTTTTAGAGTCACACAAATTTTACCAAATTTAGTGTAGGATAATGTTAGTGAGATTTTCCGAAAAGGTAAAATGGGACATTCTTAGCGGGATGGAGGGATTATGATAGTCATTATATTTACTTGTGTTTAACATAAATATTTATAAATAATTTTTGAAGAAAAGAAGAGAAATTGGGAAAATATTTTGAGAATGAGAGTTAGAGCATAAATGTAGAGAACTCAAAATCGTTCGATTCGAGTTTCATGTGAATGATAACTCAATAAGCTACAAATGTTGTGAAGACATCATGGTCAGAATATGAAAGGATCAAGACTCAATCAACCAATAAAGTAAGATGTTGCTTGTGGGATTTCGGGATACATGTCTCTCGATGTTGTATTCATATCTTTTGATTGTATGACTAAAAACACGTCATTCAAGTTTTGGTGCATAGAAGACTTCATTATCTACAGCTTTGGTGGAGAATCATATCCAAATTCGTAGCGGAACATCCTCAAAATCCCAGGACAAAACCGGCGCCGGAATTGCACCCAACCGGCGCCGGTCTGATGATTTTCGCACATGTAAGCGCAAATCAATAGTTTAACCGGCGCCGGTTATGTCAAAATTCTGGATTTTGGCTGAAAACGATGAAAACCGGCACCGGTTAACCCTGAAACTGGCGCCGGTTAAGCCTGATTCTGCACAAAACATAGAGACGTGCATCCATATTTTGATGGAAAAAATCCACCTTCCTTTTGATGTGATCAAATATTTCTTCCATGCCTAATTGTTGGGCTCGAATAGACTAAAAGATGTCAATCTTTAGTCTATATAAAGCCCTCAATTCATCAAACAAGATTATCATTCCATGTTTGGAGCTAAAAAATCATTTTTTATAGGGAAAATAATTTTAAATAATACAAACTATCTTCCATGAACCAAAAATAATACGTACTTTGGAAATTACTTTTAATAATACCAACTATTTAAATATAGACCAAAAGTGATATAAAGCTAATTTTCAATAAAAATTCAAATATTTAATTCATAAAAATTAGTATCAAGATATCAAATAAGTGACTGTATTTCCAAATATCATTTATTTGATAATTTTCCATTAATGTTTAATGTCTTAAATGACCGGATTTCTTATCGAAAAGTGACACCATATTATTTTTTGTATATACTTGTTGAGGTTTAGTCCCACAGATCCGAAAGCCCAACACGAACTTTGGATATGTCAGGAAAATGGGTAAAGAATCACTCTTAAAAAGAAATATAAAAGATAAATAAATCGAATACCTAAAAGCCCACTTGTATTAAGTAATTTGATGATTACACAATAAACTTCCCGAACGGTACGTCGGAATAGTGACTAATACAAGAAATAAGAGAGATAAATCTATTCTAGGCTTTTAATATCAAGAAGCTAACCCTTTACAATGAAATTAATCCTTCTATTTGTACTAATGGGGGTATGGGGTGCTCAATGCTAATTGGTTGCTAATCCGGCCACTTTAAGTCCATACTCCCACTTGCTGTCGCCATACTTTAACAATAAATGCTCCCTGCCACTTGTTGGCTACCAGCTGCCCGAACGGGTAGTGGACCCTGCTGGAGTCATCCTTGATCCGGCCCAAGTACATTGGTTGACCCGAACCCAGTTCGATACATATTTCTCCATGAGCCTGTTCATCTTCTGGATTCTGGTCTCTTTTAACAGACTGGATATATTGGGCCTTTGGATACGGGTATTGGGCCTGCGGCCCAATATCCCAACAATACTCAAATAGTTGGTATTATTAAAAACCACTTTCAAAGTATGTATTATTATTGATTGATAAGTGATAGTTAGTATTATTTAAAGTTAGTTTCCATTTTTATATTTTATTTTTGTATTATCTTGAAGAGTTGGAGAAGAAACTATTTATCTCCTCTACAATTGGTTCTATGTAATATTTCTTGTATGCTATTGTATTTCCTTGTTCTTATTTACACTTTTGTAATTAATATGAGCTCAAGAGGCTAATTTCTTAGCTAAGACAAGGGATGAACTTTTATGCTCATTAGGTGTTTGATAAAAGTTCTAAACCATCACTACAAGAAAATAGGTTATTTACCCACACTCGTATGTGTTGGTAAAACAGTAGATATGTGTAGGTAATAATCTTTACCCACACATATTATAAGTGTTACGATGTGTGGGTACGGAAACGTAGACAAATGTTATTAGCTACACTTCCAATTATGTGTGGGTAATATTATTATTTATAGCTACACATGTATGCGTAGCTAAAACACTTCTAAATGTGTTGTTGTTGGTCATTTCACCAAATAACCCGTGACATGGCATATGACGTGGAAGTACACGTGGCTGATGACGTGGCTTGTGACGTGGCAATTCAGGTGTGACGTGGATAATGACGTGGCATAACTGATGACTCTTAGCCGTTGCCACGTGGACATAAAGATGTGTGGGTAAAAGTTATGTGTATGTGTGGGTAAATTGTATTTTAAAAGTGGGTAATAAAAGTGGGTAAAACTATTTCATTAAATATTATATTTATTTATTAAATACACATATCAAACAATTACATTTTGTAATAGCCTAATAGGAACACGGGAATGGATAATATATTATAACGATAAATGTCATAGTTCAAACTAAAATATTCAATTTCAGCAAAGTATTAGCTAATCAAAAATTGCCAAACAAAATAAAACATTAACTAGCTGCTGCCACACTACAAAGTATTAAGTCTAATATGAATTTTGCTTCTAAACAATATTATCATATTCAGAAGTGGAGTCCTCATAACCGTCAACATGCTGGCCTCGATCAATAGAGGATGACCCACGATTAAGCGGTACTGAACAATGATCTGAAGGAACATGTGACATGGGAGGCATAATATTCTTCTCAATCAACAACTTTTTCATCATTTCAACAGTGCCTGAAAGTTCTCCAACACGATCCATCAATTGAGTATAAGTTGGAATATTTGAATCACCTTTGCTTCTTTTGGACCCAGTGGGAGACCGTCCCCAACCAAATAGACGAACAGATTCTCGTCCAAGCACCTTCTCTAATATTTGTTTATCAGTTAAATCTTCAGGTGATTTTTCTCTTCTCAATTCCATCATTTCTTCCTGTTATATTATGAATGGAATAGTAACAATTCATTAATCAGGTAAACTGTGAACATCAGAACATGCATGTATATATGTCAATAATGTAAAACTAATTAATTTGAATAAAAGATGTCGTGGTTAACACACACGGTCTGTGAAGTACACTTACATATTTAGATTCAGCTTCTACAGATACCCAACCACGTTCTGGATGCCAATGACGGAGACGCCACGTCTCAATATGACCAACATGAGCATTTAACTCAACCCCACGACTAATGTGATGGCGTGCTGTACTTTTAGATCCGTTTCTAGAAATACATTTTCTTTTCTTACATGACTCAGCATTCTTCAAAGCTTTTTGCTATAAAATAAACACAAGTAATGATTATAAATATCAACAATAATGTATAAATGATGCATCCTGCTGTTTTTCTCAAAATAAACTACGAAACATGCTATAGCAAAGAAACTCCTATTCACTACGTTTACTACTACAGTAAGCTTTAAGACTTAAATATACTTTTTAAAAAAAATTAAAATTCATTAACGTCAGCATATCTTTAGGAATAAAACATCTTACCAGATATGAAGGGTCGCTCCAACAATTACATAGATATTCCCAATCCGATTCGCTAACACCCTCATAAGGCTTACCATTTGCCTTCGTCAGATCACCTGCACCTCCAACTGTTTTAAAATGTTCACGTAACATACGTCTATAGTTATGCCAAGCTCTTTGCATTTGTTTATCAATAGCTTTTCTGACATTTGCATCTGCCAAATCAACATCAAATAATGTCTGCATAACAAAGAGAATAATAAGTATGATTAATGGTTATATGAAACTTAGAGTGGAAGATGATGATAGTAGAGGTATAATGTTATGATCTAGAATTAATATAAATCAAATAACCTTATTTTGAAATCTATGGAGGAGGGAGAATATTTTATGTGATCCTATGCTTCACATCCTACGCTATTTGAATAATAATAATCAAACTACAAGAAGTTTGTAGTGTGAGTCTTCATGTATACTTACTCGAAGTTTGTCACGAAGTGGTGCTCTTTCTTCTTCAGGTACAAACCTCCATTCTTTGTACTTAAGGTCGCAATACGTACGCAGGATATATCCAACTTCATTATTGAAAACCTTTGTGTTGTCACATATTGCTTGCATAAGGTCAAAGTCAAACTTTACCGTCAATTGTGATTTAGCACTCCTCATTGCTTTCCGGGCACCTTTACTGCATGTTATTCCACGCACATTTGAACCTTGTTCTGCGGATTCATTATTGGCAGATGAAACTTGAGTGCCGCTTTGAGTTTGGTCTGTAAATAAAATTATATTAGATTTAAATTACAATCTAACAATCTAAAGTCTTATTTTTTGTCTAGGAGAATGTAAAAGTCCATTAACTTCCGTTTTCTATTTTTTATTCTGCATAAATATTTCCATAAAAATCCAGTTTCTATTTTCAAGACATTAAGTATTTCAGTTTTTAATTTTCTTTTCATAACTTCAGTTCTTCATTGGGAAAATTAAAAAGCCTTTGAGATTTATTGCTTGTAACACAACTGGTTTACCAAAAACTATATGCTATTAAGTTATATCACATGCCATTGAGTTCACAAAAAAAAACTAAATATAAAGATGTAAATATCAAACAAAACAAAGGATTGAAACTCGAGTGTCTCTTAGAGAATGAGCTATTTAATTACATTATAAGGAATATTCAAATATTAAAATAAAGGATTGAAATAAACATTTTTATGTTAGAGATAAAACAATTCTAAACCAAAATGCTAGATTTTTTATATGTATAAAACTTCGAGAATTAACATCTAGAAGATATATAACAAATGCTGTTAATTAATAGGTGCAATATTTACTTAACAAATGAATAATTGCGAGTTATTGATATAACTAATTTAACCTGCTTGAATCCCTTCTCTTGCAGAATCATGTGCAATTGGATTACAGCTACGTCCACCTCTTGTTGAAACTCGAGCATCTCCTAGAGAATGAGCTATTTAATTACATTATAAGGAACATTGAATTATTAAAATAAAGTATTGATATAAATTTTTTTGATGTTGGAGATAAGTACTTATATCTTGAATCAATAATTACTTTGAGGCAACCACAGTAATCTTGTTATTCTAAATCATGCAACCAAAAGAAATTATCTTTTTAAATAATCTAAGAGAGTAAATGTACAGTTGATAGTTATTGATATAACTGACCCGTTTGAAACTCTTCTGATGCAGATCTATGTCCTATTGGATTCCTCCTACACCCACCTCTTGTTGAAACTTGAGTGTCTCTTAGGGAATGAACTATATATTTTGAAAATTAACTCATGAGAGATAAATAACAAATGTTATTAATTAATAGAAACACTGATTTACTTAACCTGCTCGAAGCTCTTCAGTAGCATGTTGATCTTCAACAGAAATCCTACTACGTCCAACTTGTGCACGATATCCACCTCTTTTAGAACTAGCCATGGGAAACTTGCAACAAAGATTCAACAAAGAATTAAAATCATGCCACAGTGAAACTATGATATATACATATGAATAAGTTCAAACAAAAATAACCTAAGACTAAATTTATGTCATGCCATGGAGTCATCGTCACTGATATTTAGTTCTAATGCATCAGAGTCTTTGTCACTCTCAGACTCTAATATCAATTCATTGTGAAAGAAAAGCTCTCCATCGTCAGGGTCATAATCTTCAACATCTTCTAAAGAATCTTCATTTTGGATATGCATTGACGTTTGATCCCGCATTTGTTGGACAACCTTATTCGGTAATGCCATTGGCTCTACATCTTGTCGAACTAAAAGAGGTGTGTCATCAATTTCTTCTATTGGATGAAAAGATGGTAACTCACTAGCATCTTCCTCTTGAAATATGTCATCAATAGCATCCACATTAGCATCATGCTCTGGTATATCATATATGCAACGATGATTTACTTTTTGTACAACCATCCAATTCTTGCCCAAAGCTTTATCGTCTAAATAAAACACTTGTCGAGCTTGTGTGGCCAAAATAAATGGATCTTCGGTGTACCACTGGGATGATGTGTCAACAGATGTCAGTTTATAATTAACCACCATTGTTCTCCCCTTTGGATCAGTATTATACCACTTGCAACGGAACATGAAAACCTTCCTTCCAAGGATGAAATCAAGTTCTAAAATTTCAAGTAATACACCATAATAAATGGTATCACCATTATCATCTCCAGTGCATACTCCACTACATTGTGTCTTGAACTTGTCATCACGTTCTTTGCATCGAAATCTAACACCATTGACTATACAACTTTGCCAAATTGTGTAACGATCATCCGGTAATTGCGATAAGGAATACAAATCATCACTAGCTACCGGATCACCATTTACTCTAAGTATAGCCATCTGAAAACCGAATATTAAAATTATAAATTGTTAAAATTAAAAAAAAAGTTGATTTATACTTATATACTTAATATATAGGTTTTACCTTTTTCTTGAACCAAGCAGGAAATTCACGTTTGTGAAAATTGTCCCATTCTTGTGCACGTGAGCTTGTCAAGCAAATAAGTTCCTTATGCTCTCTAAAGTGAAAAATAAATTACTTATAATATCAAATAAATTAAAAATAACTAGAAATGAAATTATAATGGAAAACTCACTTTATGTAATCATCGAGCTCACTTCCACAATTGTTAAGAAGGTACCATTGCACCACATTCCCATCTAATCCTAGATTTCCAAATTTAGGAGCTCCAAGTGTTCGTATTTTGTGGTTAAACACGTCCATCTTATAGTCTTCACTAGAGAGGTCCCAATTGCGCTCTGGGCGTGTAAATCTTGTTTCAATATCAGTTAAATATCGAGATAAGAATGTAATAGCCTCATCGACCACGTAAGCTTCAGCAATAGATCCATCAGGCCGAGCATAATTACGCACATATCCCTTATAAGTACCCATGCGCCGTTCAATTCCAAACATCCATCTAGGAGGAGCTGGACCTCCCAATAATGCTTGTTCTGGTAAATGCACGCACAGGTGAACCATGATTGTAAAAAAGGACATCGGAAAAATTTGTTCAAGTTTACACAATATGATCACAATCCCAGTTTTCATGTCCTCAAGTTCGCTAACATATAAGGTTTTTGCGCATAACTTCTGAAAGAATTGATAGAACTCTATTAGTGTGATACGTATTTTCCTATCGAGGAATGCAAGAATAGCCACTGGCAATATCTTTTGAAGCAATACATGACAATCATGAGTTTTCATTCCTCCAAGTGTATTTGCATCTGTGACACATCGACTAATATTGGAAGCGTAACCATCTGGAAGGCGAACAGACTTGATAAACTTGCAAAACTCCTTACAATCATCTTTAGTCAAGGTATATTTAGCATGTGGTTTTTCAAATTTACCATTTCGTTCCCTCAACCACAACTCCTTGCGAATGTTATGATCTTCCAAGTCAAGACGTGCGCTCAAAGTATCTTTTGACTTTAGAGGATCATTCAATAAGGTCCCGACAATATTATCGCATACATTCTTTTCTATATGCATTACATCAAGATTATGGCGCATCAACAATTTCGACCAATAAGGGAGTTCAAACAAGATGCTCTTTTTGGCCCAATTCAATTCATTAGCACCACGTTTGCGTTTCTTATCTTTATTGTTCGTAGCTTTTCCAGGTGTTGCATTATGAACCTCCTTTAGCTGTTGTAAAATGACATCTCCAGAAAATTCTCGAGGCGGTCCTCTTCTCTCTGGCTTGCCATCAAATCCCCTATTCTTTCTCCAGCTATGTGTATCACTTAGAAAGCATCGATGCCCTGTATAACATTGTTTTCCTCGAATTCGTTTCCATCTGGTGTCCTCGAGGCATACAGGACACGCCATTCTTCCCATAGTGCTCCATCCAGACAAGTAAGCATAAGCGGGGAAGTCACTTACAGTCCATAGAATTTCTGCCCGGAGAGTAAAATTTGATTTAGAATACTCATCATATGCTTCAACCCCATATGTCCATAAAATTTTAAGTTCATCTACAAGAGGCCTTAGAAACACATCAAAATCCTTACCAGGCGACTTAGGACCAGGAATTAATAATGCTAAAAGATAGTTACTTTTATGCATCATACTCCAAGGCGGCATATTATAAGGCATCAAAATTACTGGCCACAAACTATGTGATGTTGACATATTACTAAATGGGTTAAACCCATCAGAGGCCAACCCCATTCTAACATTTCTCGAGTCTGCAACAAAATCCGGATATAACTCATCAAAGTGCTTCCAAGCCTTCCCATCAGCCGGATGACGCAGAACTCCTGGCTCTTCCTTGCGCACTTCTTTATGCCAACGCATGTCTCTTGCCGTGTGCCGTGAAGCATACAGACGTTTAAGTCGAGGTCCCACCGGGAAATACCGCAGCCTCTTATGTGGAATCTTATTACGAACATATCGATTACATTTACATATAGGACATGTGACATCATTCTTATGATCACCATAGAACAACACACAATCGTATTTGCAAACATCAATAAGTTCGTAACCTAAACCCACGTCACAAAGTAGCTTCCTAGTTTCGTAATAGCTTTGTGGACAATTATTGCTTTGTGGGAGCACTTCATGTAGTAGCTTCAACAACATTTCAAAGGAACCATCACTCCACTTATTCATCACCTTTATATTCATCAATTTTACCACGAATGTCAATACAGAGGATGTATGACATCCTACAAATAACGGGGTATCCAGAGCTTCATATAGTTTTTCATAATGAGAATTTTCTGCTGTGAGTTGCTGATTTGTAAGAAATTCACTGGTATCCCCAATATCAAAATATTGATTACCAAATGCATCATATAGCCCTGCTCTCAACCCATCAAATTCATCATTTTCAAACTCTTCATTACCCGCACCTTCATCATTAGATTCTTCTCCACCGTGATACACCCACCGTACATATGACGTATCAATTCCTTTAGATATCAAATGTGCTCTGATGACATCAATAGAATGACTCCTTGAATTAAGGCAATTACGGCAAGGACATGTTGTCAATCCCTTACGATCTAAACTCTGTTTAGCAACATTTATGAATTCTTTGATGCCAGCCACATATGCCGGAGCGATCCGATTTGAAGACTTCACCCAATCACGGTTCATATCATGAGTATTCTACTAATGATAGCAAAAACATGGAAACAAAAACATATACAAACACTGGCTTAGAGAAACATTCCATTTAGTCAGGTTAGATGTTGACAATTTATATGTCTTTTGAACTTAAAATGTGAAACTAGTAAAACCATACTTGTTAACCTTTGGATTGAAGGGAGATCTGATTCGTTTGTTTCTCGAACCTGCAAAACATATAAAGAAAATAATGTAGAAGCAACTAATACTGAAGAAAGTATATTTAAAGTCTCAAAGTCATCTATTTAAAGTCTCAAAGTCAACTAATACCTTATTACTTAGTGAAATAAGAATGGAATAAACTGAAAATTAACTAATCAATAAACTGAAAGGAATAAACTAAAAATTAACTAATCAATAAACTGAAAGGAATAAACTAAAAATCAACTAATCAATAAACTGAAAGGAATAAACTAAAAATTAATTAATCAATAAACTGATAGGAATAAATTGGAATAAACTAAAAATTAATTAATCAATAAAGTGAAAGGAATAAACTAGAATAAACTGAAGATTAATTAATCAATAAACTGAAAGGAATAAACTGGAATAAACTAAAAATTAATTAATCAATAAACAAATGGAATAACCTGGAATTTAATTTAATGGAATAAGCTGGAATTCCATAATCAGTAAAAAACAAAGTAAAAGTGAGCTGAAGATCCCTGTAATAAGGCTTCAGGCTGAAAGTTTTAAACTAAAAAACGGAGTAAAAGTGAGCCGATGTTCAGACTGGAGCGAATGAAATAGGACCTGCGGCTCACCTTCTTCACCTGCAGATTTGGATGGACTCTGGAGTGAGGAAAGATTCGAATGACTCTAAACTTAAACTTCTAGCGACGAGACGAAAACACTAAAACTTAAAAAAATGACCGGTCAAACGACCGTTTTTTGTGAGAAACTCTGAAAAGCAAGGTCAAGAAAAGTGCTGGAAAAGAACTGGCAAAATGTAAGGTGCCTGTACCTAAAGACCACAATGGGAAGGCCTATTCGTATCTTTTAATTTATGTTCTTTGTATTCTTTACCTAAAGCTTCTGTGTGATAGATCCAGAAAGCACATGGGCCCAATGTGGCAATGTGTTAGACTCTAGAACTAAATATTTCCGATAAAACAAAATAGAAGGTCGATGGCACAATAGAATAAATCAGAAAGTCTTAGTGGCCAAATGAGATGTTTTTCTTAAGAAGACTGTCGCATTGCCAGTGCCAACGCACTCCCACCATCTCCCTGCATGCTCTTTTTGTTATATAATACGGAGTAATTAAGTAAAAATCTAGCAACCTTTCTAAACAGTAACAACTATAATGACAATAATGGATCACTAATCACATCTCCCACTTTTTGCAGCTTTTGTCTTTGTTTTGTTTTGAAAAATGTGAGTTCATCCGAAGGCTATGTCATAACAAAAGTTGCTTCAGTGGCCTCTCAATTGATGAAACGAGGATGGTATATTTCCCTTCACCTTAGAGTCATGTCACCACTGGCCTGTCTATGTGTCGAGAGCTGATTCATGAAGTTGACTTTTATATGAGCTTCTGCAGGTTGGAATTTGTAGCCGCTATTAGGGAGGCATTTTTGTCTGAGGTACCAAAATATGTCCTCAGTCTTGTTCTTTAATCAGTTATTTGAGCTTAATACCATCAATTCTATGAATCTGCAATGCTTGCTCCCATGTATGCACACACAACCCACACAAGATATGATTAATAGAAGACAACTTTGCAGTGTATCCCATACCTATAGCATTTTCTATAGACAGCTGGACAGTGGTCACAAATGTGAGAGCCTTAGACGCCCTTTACTAAAATATAACTTTTCCATTTTTCTGAAAATGAGAAACACATTTACTAATCATATTTTCCTAATTTAGAAAACAAATAGAAAACATGTTTACTTCACCAGTTTTTCAATTTAGAAAGCAGATACTGTTCTTCAATATCTACGTTTTCCCAGAAAACTAGAAATCACCTTTGATGTGTTTTTTTTTTCAAATTAGAAAACAGTTTTTTCAAAATAAAGTTACTCCATCCGTCCCAATTTGAGTTGCAAAGTTGACTTTTTTGGGTCAAACAGAATATCAGAACATAAATGTAAGGTGCCTGTACCTAAAGACCACAATGGGAAGCGTTAAAGCTTCTGCCTTCAAAGGGAAGCGTTTCAACTGGCTGGGATGGGCAAGAACTCCAACATTAAAAGGGTAGAAGAGTGTAGCACCCAATGTTCTAAAATTCGCTAGGCGCTAGTCGGGCGGTCAAGCACCGCCTAGCGCCTAGGCGGACTAGGCGCCGATTAGTCGTCGATTAGGCGGCCAACTCGGTTTCAACATAATATCAAAAAATAGAATATTCTTGCCAAAAAATACTACATTACACAAATTAAGTTTAAAGTTTAAACATAATAAAAATGTTGCATACTACTTAGTTTAATAATTAATAAGTTAGGATAACTAGGTTTACAATAATAATTAAAAATCATAGGTGAGTTTTATGATTTACTATTTCTCTTTTTAACTAAAAGCCAGATTTTGGTTATTAGAAAAAATGATTTTCAGTTTCCTTTGGTGTTGTTCAAATAACGTGGTTGTTAAAATGATTAGTATAATCATGAGTGGTTCTAGTTTATTATACTATGGATATCATGTAACTCTTACTATCAGAAAACTAAAACTTGGGAACTGCCAAACACCTTTACACGAGGTTCCAAGTCTTTTGGGCTACCCCTATTGATGTTGAACTTATGATAGATTGATAGAACATAAAGTCTTAATATTGTATTAGAGCATATTAAGTTCAAT